GGCTCCCTGCTCGGCGGGGAGTCTGCTTCTCCCTCTGACCCTCCCCCACCTCATGCTCTCTCTCTCATTCTCTCTCTCTCAAATAAATAAATAAAATCTTAAAAAAAAAAAAAAAAAAAAACCAGCTAAGAACATTTTCATCTGGCAAATAAGCTCTGAAAATTGATTACTCACTCTTGTTGGCAAAGCTGTGGGGAAGCTGCTGTGTTGCCCATGAGAGTACAGATTGCCCCATGCAGGGCAGTTTGGCAATAGCTATCAGCAGTAAAATGTGCATATTCTTTGACCCAGCAATGTCCAGTTCTGGGAATTTATTCTATAATCTGCACATGCAACATGATACATGTACAAGGTATTCATTCCACCATTGTTTGTAATAGCAAAAGATTGGTAGTATCCTAAGTGTTCTCTAGTAAGGGAAGTGGTTTAATAGATTACAGGACAATGGATGTATTAGTTTCGATAATGCTAATTGCTGTAACTCTTAAGTCCCAGATCTCAGTAGCTTAACACAATAGAAATTTACTTCTCTCCCATGCAAAGTTGCAAGTGGGTGCTCCTCTTGCAAAGGGTGACTCAGGGATCCAGGCTGCTTTCAGCTTATAGCTCAACCCTCTTCCATTTGTGAACCCCAACTCCACTGTGTGCATTAAACCAAGAGTGGGGAAGGGCGTGGAGGTTTGAACGAAACACTCTTTATGGGCCAGGCCTGGAAGTAGAGAGATAGCTTTCACGCTCCTTCTGTTGGCTAGCACTCAGGCCCAAGGCCACATCCAACTGCTGGGAAACAGTCTAGCTGTATGTCCAGGAAGAAGAGAGACAGATTTGGTGATCAGCCAGCCGCCTACATCATGGGAAAACCAGATGTAGCTTTAAAAAGATAAGGAAGGTCTTTATGTAACTAATACTATTATGCACAAAGGTAAGTTTTGTGTAAAGAGTGGGGATATACAGATTCACATTTACCTATGTGCGCATAAGTAAGCTCTCCAAAGACACTGAAGAAACTGGCCCCTTTTGGGGGTAGGTGTTGGGCAGCTGTGTGGAAAGGGAATGTGGTACGTGGGTGACTTCACTATGTGCTCCTGATTTTTGGCATATATAAATATATTAACCTATCAAAAAAAAGCTGAAGCGGCCATCAACCAAGTTGTTCGTCTGAAGGTACTAAGCAAAGGGAGAGGATTTAGGTACATAGCCTCAGGGTGGAAACTGGGGGGAGCAGAGAAGAGCAGGGGTTCAGGGCAGAGGCTGGGCCGCAAAGACTAGAGAGATTTCCCAAGCCCCTCGGAAGGCGACTGCAGTGGCTTTTTATATAACCATGCCCTGCAGGCTTCTGGGGACAACTCGAAATAGATTCTTGCAGAGCATGGAAGAGCAAGCAGACTCACTCTGCTGGATCAAAGTCAGGACAGATATCCAGGGGCAGTTGAAGCTGGGTTTGTTTCTGCACGAGCAGGCCTTGCTTCAGAGGGAAGTGGAGGCAGCAGGAGCTTTCCATTTTGTCCTCAACTTGGCGCCTTGTCACCCTTTGGACCAGCTGTAAGGCAGCGGTCTAGGGGTTGGAGACAGTTCTTGTTCCTAACGTGCCCTTACACGGATGCATCTATGTGGAATCACATCACTTATGCCCAATCATTTACTCATGTATATTTGGATGTCTCCCCTGGTCCAGGTATTACAGGTGGTATGATTATAAAAACAAAGATGAAAAACATAGTTTTCAGAATTCCTGACTACAGAATGTTGTTCGGCCTGGGAATTGCCTGACTGGCCGCTCTCTGGTGAGCAAGAGGTTCTTACCGTGCAGGCGGGAGCTCACCCCCTGTATGGTGCTTCTGCCTCATTGTCTCACTCTTTGCCTCTTGCCTCTGAAGAATTCCTGAAAAAGCAGCCCCACATTTCTGATTTGGTTCAGTTCTCTGCTTTCAGGGCAGCATCAACATGAGCCGCGTAGCTGTGATGGGACATTCATTTGGCGGGGCCACGGCGGTCTTGGCTTTGGCCAAGGAGACCCAGTTTCGGTGAGTGTCCCATCGATGTTCTGTGAGCTCCGTGCACCATTCATTCATTCAGCAAGTATTTGTCACGCAAGTGTTACGTGCTAGGCACAACGGTTTGGGGGGCTGGGATCTCAGTGGTGAACAAGAAAACGAGGTCTCTGATTTCATGGAATTATGTTATTGTGGGAGGAGACAGACGAGTAAACAAGCTAACAGCCAAATTCCCAGCACTCAGGTGTAGTGAAGAAAATAAACCAAGCTGGTATGCCAGAGTAATTGGAGGCGTCCTTCAGAAAGTGACATGAGCCAAGACTTAAAAAGAAGCCAACCATATGAAGGTCTAGGGGAAAGATCATTCTAGGCAGAGGGAACAGCTAATGCAAAGGCCCTGAGGCAGAAAGAAGCTTGCCGTGTCAGTGTCAGTGTGGGAAGGGCACAGTGAGTGGGGCAAGTGGGTCAAGATAACGATCAGAGAGATAAACGGGCTAGATCACATGGCCTTTGGCCAGAGTAAGAGAGTTTGATTTTATTCCAAGTATGATGGGAAATTATTAAGGGTTTTAAGCAGAGAAAAATCTTTTTTTTTTTTTTTAGTTTTTATTTATTCATTTAACTAATTACTACACCCAATGTGGGGCTCAAACTCACAACTCCAAGATCAAGAGTTGCATACTCTTCTGACTGAGCCAGCTAGACTCGGAGAAAAATCTTATTTACACATTAAAAGATCCCTCAAGGGGGGCGCCTGGGTGGCTTAGTCATTAAGCATCTGCCTCTGGCTCGTCTCCCAGGGTCCTGGGATCGAGCCCCGCATCAGGCTCCCTGCTTAGCAGGAAGCCTGCTTCTCCCTCTCCCACTCCCCCTGCTTGTGTTCCCTCTCTGCCTGTGTCTCTCTCTGTCAAATAAATAAATAAAATCTTAAAAAAAAAAACAAAAAACTGACCTAATGAGGTATGAGGGCCCTAAAATCTATATTTTTGAAAGTTTCCCAGGTGACTGTGACAATAGACTCAGGAGCCTCTGAACTGGGTTCTACTTGGACCACTTGTAGGCAAGTCACTGATTGAAAACTGCTGGAATAGGTAATTATCCAAGAGCTATCCTAAGGCAGCCCATGATTGGTTAGCAGGTGAGGGATGGGGACAGTGCTTATAGTTGAGAGGAGGGCAGGTGGAAGGACTTGTTAAAGCACAGAGAACCAGAGATTTCACTGGGCCTTGATGGGTGGGGCAGGCTTGCATGGGTGGAGGGGCTTCTAAACAGGTACCACAGTGAATTGTTTGGATGAGGTGAACAAAAGAAGGTAGAGACACGTGGGCTGATTTCCTTGGAAAATTCTATGGCATTTATTAGAAATGACTCTGGATACTCTGGGTGTGTGTCTCTTAGGCAAAATTGAATTTTCCCATCTCCCCATCTTCCTTGGGCATCAGTTAATGTGAGCCCAGGGAATGCAGATTCATTTTTGTGCATGCCTCATTCTGGCCAATTATAGTTTGTATTTATTTCCAAACTTAAAGATTCTTCCAGAAACTTTCCAGGAGTACTAGAGAGTTCTACTCCCTTCTGTTTAGTCGTTTTTTAACTCCACTCATCTTGATTCCTATCCCAAGCACTGTTCTCTATATGGGGTAAGACTGAAATCTCTTCCCATAAGAAGTTACTATCATCTGGTCACCCAATCCTGAAACCTGACTCATCTTTGGCTCTTCTGTCTCCCTTGCCTCCCCAAATCCACTCATTTGCCAATTCCCATTGTTTCTACTTTTTCACTCGATCAACAAATATTTCCTGAATACTTCATGAGAGCCGTACTACACGAGGTGCTTTAAATGCATTATTTCATTTTATCTCTCGAGCAACCCTACGAGGATGGATAGTTTCCTATTGTACCCATGAGGAATCAGGTTCAGTGAGGTCAGAGGATCTGCCCAAAGTTAAAGAGCTAGGCAGCAAAGGAGCTAGGCTTAAACTTGGCTCCTTCAGACTTAATATCGCCCGTTTCCAGGGTAGATTCCAGCTCCTTAGCCTAGCGCTAGAGAGATTGCTGCCCTCCAAATCTCTCACACCTTTCTCTTCTCACATGTGCTTTCTTACCTCTGTGCCTTAGCTCATGCACTTTCTTCTACTTGAAAGTCAACTTTTGCCATCTTCCTCTGCCCTCCGCTGCCAAGCTACAGAAGTGTGCTTCTCAGAACTCCTGCATCTGATCCTCTTATCTGACCCTCTTTTTTGGCAGTTAGAACTTGGAGCTGCTTCATTGTCATGTGCGTGACATGCATCATGCGCCTCTGCCCTAGGTCTTCCATGTGTGTGCCCCCCAGCGGCGAGGGGTCAGGGTTTGAGACTAAGCAGCACATATTCAACTTCACTCTGGCTAATCAGTCCGCTGACTGCATCAGGATCTTAGTTTGTTTCTTTCTCTTTTTCTTTCTTTCTTTCTTTCTTTTTTAAGATTTTATTTATTTATTTGAGAAAGAGAGCAAGAGAGCACAAGAAGGAGGAGCGGCAGAGGGAGAGGGAGAAGCAGGCTCCCCTCCCCCCGAGCAGGGATCCCGATGTTGAACTCGATCCCAGGACCCCGGGATCATGACCTGAGCCAAAGACAGACGCTTAACGAACTGAGCCACCCTGGCACCCCAAGCTTGGTTTCTTTTTAAAAAGAACTGCGTTCTACAACTACAGGGTAGTAGAAAGTCATTTGTTATATTCCAAAGTTAAATAGAATGATGTTCAGATTATTGGTTATTTGGGGTTTGCCACTGGACCAGACAGTTCGAAGTTGGCAACCAGGAGATCTATGTGTAATAGTAGTTCTGCTTGTGATGTTGTGCAACTCCCTTGACCTCTGAGGACCTACATGTAGTGGGGAGGGTGAGAGATGATTCTTCACAAATATGACACCATATGTTTGATTCTCTCTGCTCTGCCATCCTCCGTGGGTAGCTTCATCCTCGAGGTAGCAAAGTGGCTGCAACATTTCAGGGCTTCCTATCTGCACATCACTCTACCTCAGAAACAGAAAGAACGTTTCCATCTTCAACCATCAAAGTCCTGGGCTTTACTCTGAATGGATCAACTGTGTCATGTGCCCACTCTTCATCTAGAGACTGACCAGGGGACACAAAGGGCTGATCGGTTCAGGTCAATTAAGGCCCAAGTCTAGAAGTTGGGGGGGCACAGTCAGCCCCACCCAAGTCAAAAGGGTACTGCATAGGAGGAGGGCAAGATAGACTGGATATGGAGAAGTTTGACCATATTCTCCACTGTTAGAGCCATGTTGCCCACGATCAAATTCTGGCTCTGTTAGCTGTATGTTCTTGGGGAAATTACCTGACTTTGTCAAGCATCAATTTCCTCATCTCAGCTTTTCAATTAATAATGTATTGAAGCACTTTGTGTAATTCCTGGCACTCCATAAGTGTGCTGCTGCTGCTGCTGCTGCTGGGAATGATGAGATTGAAGAGGGATAGAGAGCAATGGCATTGGCCCCAATTTAGGGAGCAGCCAAGTTACAGGAATGTTGGCTAGTTAGGAACACGCACACCTGCCATGTCGAAGGCTCCTGGTTGATCTAGAAGGCTCCTGGTCGATCTACTGCCACATCATACTCTTCCCCATCTCTGCCCTTTCTTGCTCTTGTGTCCTGTGTAGAAATGTTCTCCTTCCTCTCCCCGTCTCTAAAGCTTCCTCATACCTCAAGGCCTAGCCTAAGTGCCACTTTTATAGTAGTTTAGGTCCATGTTTGTGTAGACCTATATCTGAGTCTCCCCCATGAGCAGGATCAGTAGGGGTTAAGAGCTTAGGTCTGGATGAGACAGACCTGGTTTTGCTGCCCCGAAGCAGGATAACTTCAGGAAAGTTATTCAACTATTCTGTGCCTTAGTTTCCTCATCTATAAACAGGGTCTTCATAGGACCTTCCTCAGAGAGTTGTGGAGAGAATGAAATGATGTACTGTATGGAAGGAGCTTAGTTCAGTGCTGACACAGAGCGAATAATGCATCTTATTATTATTCCTGGCCTCATGAGGATATGGTCTGGGTTACATTCTCTGCAGAGGTTACTGCCACGCTGGGCATGTGGTAGGTGCTGAACACTTTGCAGTGGGTTTTTTTGTTTTGTTTTTTTTTAAGATTGATTTATTTGAGAGAGAGAGCGTGCGAGGGGAGGGAGAGGAAGAGAATCTCAGGCAGACTCCCTGCTGTGTGTGGAGCCCGACATGGGGCTTGATCTCAGGATCCTGAGACCATGACCTGAGCTGAAAGCAAGAGTTGGACCCTCACCTGACTGAGCCACCCGGGCGCCCCCTTGGCAGTGGGTTTTGGGGAGCATGGAAGCTCTCTTTCCCCAACTGTCTTCACCCTGCTCCCAACAACAACAAAGCAGCCCTTAAACCTTGGCAAAGTCAGTGTAGCAAAGCAGATGACGTGGAAGACGGAGCGAGTCCCTGGCAGGGAGATGGGGTGATAAGGAGCTGTGGACACGGGTGACAGATAACACAGAAGCAACAAGAAGCTAAGAGGAAACCAGCAAGAGGCTCTTCTGTGTTCTGCCCTCAGCCATCAAGTTCAGCACTGCCCAGTTCGTTGTTTGTTTCAACTGGTGATCAGATGGGCGTGAACCAGTCCGTGGGCTTCCCACCTGTCACAGGACCCCACCTCGTAGGCTGCGGTGATGTGATGGAGGGCCAGGGTCTCCAGGTAAGTGCCTCCAGCTCCGTCCCTGCACATCCCTCCTGCTGCTTCTGCATCCTGACTTTGCAGTAGCCAGTCTGACGGTGTGATTCTCAGCGGGGGGGAAACTGAGTTACAGCTGGTCTGGATTTGGTGATAGAGCCCTCAGGTCTGTCTTCCCTGACCACCTTCTTCCTCTTTCCAGGTAGAAACCTCTCAGTAGCCAGAGAGGGGTTGTTTTGCCAGCTAGGAGGAAAGGGGGGCTCGAGCTCCAAGGGCAGCTCTCAAATCCCCTGCCCGGTCTTAAGAGCAGATGCCTGATCTGGAAAGGGTTTCCGGTCTCATCCCAATTTGAAGGTGTGCGAGGGGGAGCAGTGGACCATGTGCTGTTAGCCTTTGACTCCCCAGCCTGGGTAGGAAGACCTGCTCCTCCTTTTCCTCCCCTACCTTTATCCGTTTTCCCTCCTGCATTGGTTCTGGACTTTGCCTCCACCAGTTCCTAGGTGCTTCTCTGCTGGCCCTTGGACTCCCCCTCTCCCTTGTGAGAGGCACATACTTCCTGTTAACCCATCACCTACTCCCATGTGAAACGAGTGTGCTGCTGCTTCCTAAGGGCCAGGCTTGAGAACGGGCCTGGGGGACCCCCGGCTGCCACCCCATCCGGCCTGCGGGCTGATGCATTCCCAGGGCTCCTACAGGCCTGGGCACCGGGCCAGATTTAAGTCTCTCTGATCCAAGCGCTGAAAATATTTTGGTGTCCCCCAGATGTCATTTAAAATACAGTCGGCTATTTGAAATAACATAAGCCTACGTGCATGCTAAAAATAAAATTGCTTCTTTCTGGATTTTCTGAATGCAAAATTCAGGTGTATGAATTGAATGAAGCTTAAGTGCCCCATTTTGGTGGCCTGCTTTGCTGGCACCCCACGTACCCACCGGATGTGTCTGTTGGGAAACCTAACCGAGCTTGGGCTTCTTGCTCTGAGCAGTTGCTCTCTTCTTTCCTATAGGGGAGCTTCTTTCGACTCTTCTACCCCTGCCAAGAGGTGGAGGAGACCATGGAGCAGCCCCTGTGGATTCCCCGCTCTGAGTACTGCACTGGCCTGGCCAGTTACCTGCGCTTTAATAAGCGCTGGGGGGGGTTGCTGTTCAGCTTGGCTGTAGGTAAGTGCTGGCCTCACCCCCAGATGCTTTCCCAGCTTCTTGGTTATGTTCCTGGGAGATCCCTAGGCAGGCACAGTACTGTGTAGCTGGCATCATCCAGCCCTCTTGTAGCGGGGCGTGCATTAGCCAGTGTGGTGTGGAGAGTCGGGAGAGGATTATATACACGAGAGCTTTGGTTACAGCATTAGGTTGTCCCGGATTCGAATCCAGACTTCATCATTGATTCCTCCTTAGCTCTCCTCTCTCCGGGTAAAGTCGCCTTGACTCATCCACTTCCCCCGCAGGCCCCACCATGAGGAACTCTAGCCAACTGTCTTGGCATCTCAGGGGTTTTCCCCATAGTTCTTCAGTACTTCTTTGCATTTATCTTCCCATTTTCTATCATATTTGTACTTTCTAGGGAAGATAGGGGTAAAGGGAAGGTGATTGATTGTCCTGGGCTGTTCAGGGGCAAAAGGTGCTTCTCCATTGAGGAGGGGCACATGTCCCCACCGATGCCTCTGTCCAGGCTGCCCCTGGGATTACGGCGTTGGGGCAGCCAGAGATTCTATAGCCCCTGTCTCTGTTAGGATCTTGTCGCCTGCCTGTTAGCTGGAATGGCCCCTTTAAGACAAAGGACTCTGGATACCCCCTGATCATCTTCTCGCATGGCATGGGGGCCTTCAGGTAAGAGCTTCCTCCCGCAGACCTTGTCCTAGTCCTTAACTAGTGACAACTGCGGAGAGGGCAGAGAAACAGACATTTCCATCCCCAGCTGTCTTCTCCACCACTTGCTTCATTCCGGAGCGCTGGGTCCACCTCTCCGTGAGGGCTTCCCCAAGCCCCTTTCACTTGGTGGGGTCTTTCCGCGCGGGCTTCACATCCTTCGCTTCTCATGTTCCTGCATTGATAAATAAACCTGATTGATTTTATGTTTGTGTTATATTTAAAAATAAGTAAACATTTATAAATAAAATAAACACTTCTGGCTCTCTTTCCATATAACAGCACAGAAGTATCAGAAGGAGCTTGAGCTTTATAGCCAGAGTCATTCCTTCAGTGTCCGTGGATGGACAGCTCTTCTGTGGCATGCATGTAGTGGGTGAGGTGGGGCTCACTCCCAGCATGCCCACAGCTCAGCCTCACCTGGGAGGCTCAGCCACACCGCCTGTGCTCCGTGTGAGCTCGGGACAGCTGTAGAACTCTCTGAGCCTAGATTTCGTCGTCTGTCAGATGGGGATGCTGCTCCCTCCACATGGGTTGTGAGGATTCGGTTAGACTGGCACCTAGTAAGTGTGCACACACACAGTGCTCTGTGTTTCTCTGCATAAGGAACGCGAGATGGTGAACTGGAAGACTTCGGGAAACTCTGCCTGATGTTGTAAGAATTCAGAATTCTTCCTGGGGATCCCGATTTCTCCACCTTGCTGTGTTATACAGCTTAATAACTAGTCCATATGTTCCTGTTTAAATTTGTGAATATTCTGACTATATGTTCATTACCAACATGTAAGTCTAGTTTATGTCCTAGAGTGTCACACCTCCCAAAGGTGTCTGTTTTTGCCTCCCCACTCCCCAAACCATTGTCCACACTGGAGCCAGGGAGATCTGTTTTTTGTTCTGTTTTTTAAAGATTTATCCATTTATTTGAGAGAGAGAGTGAGCGTGAGCAGGGGGAGAGGGAGAGGAAGAGAGAATCTCTAGCAGACTCCCTGCTGAGTGTGGAGCCTTATGTGGGGCTCGATCCCAGGACCCCGAAATCATGACCTGAGGCCAACCAACTGAGCCACCCAGGGACCCCCAGGGAGATCTGTTTTAAAAGCAAATATGACCTTGTCATTGCAGCACCTAGAACAGTGCCTGGCGGATAGCAGGTGCTCAATAAATATTTATTGAATAAATGAATGAATGTTGCTTCCCTACCTGGTCTTTTTAATAGCCCTTTGAACTTATTCCAGCTCCTTTCATGGTCTTACCTGGATGCAGGTCCCAAAGTCTCCAGCCTTGTTTCTTACTACTTGCCCCATTCCAGCTCTCTAGACAAACTGACCTTCACTTCCATAAAGGCGCTACGTTATTTTCTGCTTCAGAGTTTTTATCTGTGCTGTGCTTTGTGGCTATTCCCTTTGCCTGGAATATTTGCTGTTCTGCTCCTCTCTTCCTCCCATGCCCCCACCCCTTCATCTTTGCCTGGCTAATTCCAAATCACCCTCAAGGTCTTAGTTTGGATGTAACTTTCTTAGAGACACCCATCCTGACCCCTGTATCATATGACGTTTTCCAGTAATGTGCTTTCGTAAGATACCTGTACTTTCCAGTACTTAACATAATTGAAATGAACGAATTACATGTGTGATTATTCTTTAAGGTCTGTCTTTCCTGCTAGACTGTAAGCTCCATGAAGGCAGAGACCATATCTGTCTTCTATCTCTTCCAGTGCCTAGGACAATACCTGGAAAGTAGTAGTTTCCTAGTGAATATTTTTTAAGCAAATACAAGGGCTATGTTTTGCTAGGTTTTCATTCATTTAGCAAATATCTGTTGAGCACCTGTTCTGTACCAGCGCCATGGCATGAGAAAATGATTCCTGTGGCGAGAAATCAAGGACTTGCATCCAGTAGGGGAGCCCGAACATGGACTCACATAACTGTAGCCTGTGGCAGGAGGGTAAATGCAGAGATGAGGCCAGTAAGGCAAGTAGATGGTGTTCCATGTTGCTTTCTTATTCAGTAAATTTAGTACCTGCCATATTCTGGGGCCGTGCTGGGGTTGTGTACTCAGTAGTGAATAAGATAGAGTCCCTGCCTTCAGAAGGACTGTAGTCTAGCAGGAAAAAGAAGTAAGAAACATTCTCTCCTAAGCTCACAGGTATTTTATACAGAGAGCAGGTGAGCACATGACTTTGGAGACTGGTCTTTTTGGTCTAAGAATCTGTGTTGAGACTTTGCACCTCAGTTGACCTGGGTAAGCCAGTTATAAATACTCTTCATTCACCAGAATGAAATTCCAAGCCAGAGGGCAAGGAGGGAAAGGGACGTGGCTTCCTCTTGTTGCATGTGTGGTTAATTCAGGATCTGAAAGCCTTCCAGACCTCTGGATTCCTACCCCAGGGAGGAGTATGTGCATTTAAATGTTCCCTGCTTGCAATGTGTTATTGTTCCTTTGGTTTCCACACAGTCCTGTGAGGTAGGTCATGGGGGTGCATATTTTACAGATGACCAAACAGGCTCTGAGAGGCAGACTTGCCCAAGGTTACACAGTCTGAACTAGGAAGGGATCAGAGATCTCTCTGGTTCTTATGCCCAGTTCACTGCCTCCCTCAGAGAAATGAGAGAAGGTGAAAGGAAATTTAATGTCTGTCCTTCCTGACCTTCCTGAATCAGTTAGGATACGGGCAAGTTGTATTAACAGAAAAACCCCAAACCATAGTGACCTAAGCAGTATGAAATTTATTTCTTGCTCAGATAAAAGAACGCTAGTGGTAGACAGAGACTTCTTTTATCATCTTGCTCTGCCCCTTGTGCCCTCCATTTCTAAGGCTATCTAATGACCTCAGGGGGCTGATTTAGGTCCTGCCATTACATCCACATTCCAGGCAATGGGAAGGGAGAACGCTCCTGAAAGCTTTTTATTTTTTTTCCCCCCTGAAAGTTCTATACAACACAATTGCTTACGTCCCAATGACTAGAGCTGTTCTGTCCTTCCAGCCACATGTGGCTATTGAACATTACAAATGTGGCTGGTCTAAGCTGAGATGTGCTGAAGTATAAGATACACGCTGGATTTCAAAGACTTCATATGGGAAAAAAAGAACTTAATAAAATATTTCATTAATTTGACACTCTTTTTTAATTTTTTTATTTAATTTCTTTAAAAGATTTTATTTATTTATTTGAGAGAGAGCGAGAGAGAGCACAAAGGGGGCAGGGAGGGAGAAGCAGGCTCCAGCAGGGAGCCCGGCATGGGTGGGGCTCGATCCCAGGACCCTGGGACCACGACCCGAGCCGAAGGCAGACACCCAACTGACTGAGCCACCCAGGCACCCAACATTCTTTTTTTAATGTAATCTCTGTACCCAGTGTCGGTCTCAAACTCATGACCCCAAGATCAAGAGTCAGATGCTCTACGGACTGAGCCAGCCAGGCGCCCCCTAACTCAGACATTTTGATTATATGTTAAAATGATAATGTTTTGGCTCTATTGAGTTAAATAAAATATATTATTAAAATTAATTCCACCTTTTTTTTTTTTTACTTTAAAAAATGTATCTACTAGAGAATTTTAATTACTTATGAGGGCAGCATTATATTTCTATTGCTGGGCTGGAACTTAACCACATAGATAACCCTGGCTACAGGGGAGGCTGGGAAATGTCATAACTGATGCCTGTATCTTCAGCTGAAAATCAGATTCTGCTACTAAGGAGGAGAGAAAAATAAGTATTTAGGCAGTTAACAGTGTCTGCCATATTCCTTTTTTTTCTGGGAAGTTGGAGGACAGACAAATTCACATGCTAAATCACAGGTGCATATTTGCATATTACAGAAATAGCCAGAGTGCCTGTCTCCCCAAGGATCTGGCCAACTAATTTGGGAGATATACAATAATATATAGATAATAAAAATGCAATTGTTAATGTACCAAACTGTATTGGGGGTAGGTGGAGGAGATGGATGAGTCAAGGTTCTTGTGGGGTTGAAAACACCATGGATCGATTTACACATGCTTCTTGGAGCCTTGGTGAGACGAATGGTCTGCTGACCAGAGAAAGCACCTTGAGGAGGAAGGGCTGCTACAGATGAAACTTCCTCCATTCAATCTTTTGAGATGGTCACTAGCAGAGCGTGGTTGGAATGGGAGCAGGGGGGCAGTTCTTTTGACTACTTCTCTCTGTTCCTTCCTGCATCTCTAGGACACTGTATTCAGCCTTCTGCATGGAGCTGGCCTCCCATGGTTTTGTGGTTGCTGTCCTGGAACACAGGTGAGGGGGTGACAGCCATAACAAACTCTTGGATGGGTTGCTGCCAGTGGGCTAGGATATAGGCTAGTCCTTTATTGATGAATTATTTTTAATCTTCACAACGACCATGCAAGGCAGGTATTCTACTCATTTTCAAGGTGAGGAAACCAAAGTTCAAAGGTTCACTTGCTAGAAGTGACACAGCCGAGTTGGGGTAAACCCAAGTCAGTCTTCAAAATCCGTGTTTTTTATACTCTCTTGTGTGTGCCCCTGGATCTTTCTCCCTGCTAGCCAAAAGATGATCCAGTGTTTTGGTGGGAATGGAGGATTTAGTAAAGGGGAGAAATAAGCTCAAGGGTATCCTCTAGTTTCTCCGGCGGCATGTGTATTTCAGGGACGGGTCCGCCGCGACCACCTGTTTCTGCAAGCAGGCCCCAGGGGAGAGCCAGCTGACTCATGAGCCACTGGAGGAGGAATGGCTCCCTCACCATCAGATTGAAGAAGGGGAGAAGGAATTCCATGTCCGGAATTGCCAGGTAGGCTTGTGCCAGTTGGGGAGGGAGAGTTAATAAGCCCGTCCTCCTGATACTACAGTCACTAAGAAGACTTTGAACTAGGCTTCTGTCCTGAAATCTCACTCATAGTGGGTCTGAGCTTGTCACAGCAGAGAAATGGGGTATTAGTCAACACTCTTAACAATTGCAGGTGACAGAAACTCAATTTAATCTTGGTAGGCAAAACGGAGAATTGCCTGGCATATACAGGCTGAGTTTAAGAGGGGCAGGGCCACGGAACCCAGACTCAAATACCATCAAGACATTTTTTCTCTGTCGGTCTCTGCTGGTTGGTCTTATCTGCAAACTGGCTTACCTTACAAGGTTAGATGGACTGAGTTTGCACATGTTTGGCCTCACCACCTGAGATTATAGGGCTGTTTGGGTGGTCGTCCCCCAGTTGTCACACCTGCCTCAAGCTATGAAAAATCCTGGAAGGAGGCTCCTGGGCCCGGGAGAAGTATCCAAATGGGAAATTTTCATCAGAAATAGGTCAATAGATTTGAGGGGGTCACAGTCCTCAAAAGTCAGGGGTAATGGGCGAAGTGGGGGCAGGTAAATGCTAGGCAGACAAAAACAATAGATGTATGCTATGAATAGGCAAGTAGAGTCCAGTACTGGGTTGATTAAAAAAAACACTCTTCTTTCTTTTGTGTTCAAGGCTTTCATATATGTTGTCTTATTGGGTCCTCCTGCCCGCCCCCCCCCAAACAATGGGGAGGTGGGTAGAGTCTGAATAGCAGTGCTGACCCCAGTGGACTGTTAGGTGGCGCTTATGTGAGCTGCTAGGAGGTTGCCGAGCCTTTCTCAGGATATGAAGCCCCCAGTGCTTGCTGAGATCCAGGTGGCCACACTCTCCCTACGTCCTCCCTTGGCTCTGTTGGAGAGTGAGGTTCTTGCCGGACAGTTGTGCTGTCTTCCAGCCCCCACCGTGACTGTCTCTGTTGCAGGTACATCAGAGGGTAAGCGAGTGTACACGGGTGTTGAGGATCCTGCAAGAGGTCACTGCTGGGCAGATCGTCCTTAACATCTTGCCTGATGGGTTGGATCTGATGACCTTGAAGGTATGGCAATAATTGGTATGACCTGGAGCTCATGTATTCATCAGGACTTTTGGGGTTACAAATAACAGAAACCTAACTCATTCGCTTAAACCAAAAGAGAATTTATTGACTCAAGTAAGTGAGGAAGTCCAAAGGCAGACTGGCTTTAGGCTAGCATAGCGAGATCCAGGGTCTCAGACATTGTCATCAAAGCTCTGGCACTCTCTCTTCCTTCTCCTGGCTCGGTTCCACTCTGTGTGTGTGGGCTTCATTCTCACCGTTCTCTCTCCATTAGGCAGGAAAGATGGTTGCTGGCAGCCCAAGCCTATATTTCAACACAGCTCCAAATTTAAAAGGAAAAGAGATTCTCTTGGCTTCCACTATTCTGGGAAGGCTGTGGCCCTGCTTGGGTTACATGTCCCTTCCGGACCAGGCACTGTACCAGAGGGACAGGGTATTCTGATTGGCCTGCCTACATTATACACCCACTTCTGGGTCAGGGGATCCTAAGCACCAGGATTGGCATCCCTACGGGGCCACATGGATAAGGGAAAAATGGTTAATTCCCCAAAGGAAGGTCTGTTGAGCAACAAACAACCTGTGTCTACAGCAGGCTAATTCCTTCCTTTGAGGGAATCCCAAAAATCTTCCTGGGAGGATAGACACTGTCCCAGCTAAGGAATTTGGTACCTATGCAGATAACATTCCCCGCCCCCCCGATCTTTCCCACCTAATTGCAAAAGTAGCTCAGACTCTATTTAGAGAACCAAGAAATCACACAAAAGCATGAAGAAAAAGTGTTTTTTTACATGTTGACGTTCATCTTTCCAGTTACTCTAAAATGCGTAACACATGTGTATACATTTTTAAAAACAATAATGTTATCATTTAATACAGGCTGTTTTGTGGCCTTTTTTTTCACTTAGCGTAAGTCTGAATGTCTTCTTATGCCAGTTAATATTTTTCTATGGCATGATTTTTTTTTTTAAAGATTTTATTTATTTGAGAGAGAGAGAATGAGAGAGGAAGAGAGAACACATGAAAGGGGGGAGGGTCAGAGGGAGAAGCAGACTCCTTGCTGAGCAGGGAGACTATGGCATGATTTTTAATAGCCATGTGTATTCCATTGCATGAATGAGAATGGTGTGTGTGTTTATATGTACATAAATACATGTATATAAATATGTATAAAATAACAATTACTGCTCTATGAGTACTTACTATGATAAGAGCCCCTCACACAAACTTATGCAGCAAGCATTATTAGCTCTTTACACAGAAAGAAACCAAGGATCAAAGAGGCTACACATAGCCAAGTAAGTGGTAGAGTCAGACTTCATACTGGGGCTTTTTGATCCCAAAGCCTGTGCTGTGTGCCCCAAAACCTTGTTAGGAAATGCCTTGTAAAGGCTCTGGTCAAGTCAAGGCCATCCAGGGCACAGTGTCCACCTGGACGGTCAGCTGGAAAGGCAGACATCTGAAGCACTTTTCCAACGATGTGATGTGTGCCGCCAGCCCCCAGCAGACAGGCAGGGTCCCAGGCACTGAAGTGCAGGGCTGCGTGCCTTTGAGCCTAAGACAGGCATTGGGCAGGCTAGAGTTGAGTTGGATTATTATGATTTGGAGAAATACAGAATAAAAACAGCTAAGAATGGGCGCCTGGGTGGCTCAGTTGGTTAAGTGACTGCCTTCGGCTCAGGTCATGATCCTGGAGTCCCGGGATCGAGTCCCGCATCAGGCT